CATATTTCTTTTGGAGCTAGAGTAGGCCCAACTTGCTTGTTAGTTCAAAATCACTCCTAGCCACAAAGTACCATGCTGAAAGAGCGGCAGCCGCAGACACTGGCCAGATCCGCAGGGTGAGATGCAGTGGCCGCGTGGGTGGGGAGGCGACGGTGGGGACGCAGGGGACTCACCTCTTGGATTTCCAGGTCGATGCTGTACAGCGTCCTCTGCAGGCGGAGGCTCCCCAGGTGGATGTGCTTGCCTTCCTCCTCGTCCGGGCTGGGCCGCTCGTCGCTGTCCAGGAGAAGGTGGCCCTTCTGTTCTGCCAGCACCGCCTGATGCTCAGTGCGCTGCAGCTGCCTCCCCTTCTCTTTCTTGCCCCTGGCAGCCCTCTTGTCTTTTTTCATTTTGGGGGTCAGCTTGGGTGAGTTCTGGATACTGGAGTGGGAGGAGTCCCATGCCAAGGTGGCATTTTTCATCTCTATCTTGATGTGAGGGCTGGCTGGTTTGTTCTTTATCATGTGAACCTCTTCCATTAGAAACAAACTCTGATAGGAGTTGTGAGAGAGGTGCAAAGATGAGACACTGGATCAAGACCAGGGAGACAAGCCTAGGGCGCACACTCACGTAGCAAAACACATCAGGCTATACAGTGGAGGAAGCTGAAGGGCAAAAGGTAGCTCATTAGTGTAGCCCAGTCTCAAGCCCATCGAGGGTCACAGGAGTGTGGGGACAACCTCGGGAGGCACAGGGGCCTTGGCAATCAACCCACACTCGACACTACACATTACAGGCTAAGTGACTTCTTCCTGTTCTACCAGCCTAATGTGGCCCTCAGGACATCTAACTAGCATACAGGTCCTTGTTCTCACTCAAGAGGTGCCAAGCAACAGACAGGAAAACCACAGTGCACAAGTGTTCACCAGCTGGCCTTCCTTCCAGACCCGTCCTTTGGAATTCCACAGCCCTATGCACTTCCCTCACCCATGACACGGCACCTCTCCACAGGAGAGGCAGCACTGGGATTGCCACTAGGCTCACAGTGCTAGGGTGAGAAAAGACCATCTTCTTGGTAGGAAATTTTTTTTTTTTATTTTCATTTTATTTTATTTTTTTAGAGGAGGTGGCCGCCTTTCTGCACAGGCGATGGCCTGCAGGTGGGGACAGTGAGGGACTATGTCTTCAAAGCCCTGCCCTGGAATTTGTGAGAATGTAAATGACCAAAGGAATGAACTTGCATGGAAGTGAAGGGTATTTCCTGGAGAAACGTCCCTCGGGAAGAGAGCGAGGCTCTTTCCTTCCACTCATTCCCAGAATCCCACTGAGTTAAGGGAAGAAAAGCCAAATTCTTGAAAAGGGAAGTGTTCCTGAAAGATGTCAAACACTGGCCATAATAAATCACAGTCCATCTAGCCTGAGCAAGAACGAGAGACCCAGTCTCTACTAAAAACAGAAACAAAACTAGCCAGTGTGTGGTGGGAGCCAGTAGGCCCAGCTACTTGGGAGGCTGAGGCAAGAGAACTGCTTGAGCCCCAGAGTTTGAGGTTGCTATGAGCTATAACCCCATGGCACTCGACCAAGGGTGACAGAGTGAGACTCTGTCTCAAAAATAAATAAATAAATAAATAAATAATCATAGCCCAAGACTTTCCTGTAAGATTCTGAACCCATTTCTGACAACCCTCTTCAATCAGTGACCTTCTTTACAGAATGCTACCCCAGTTGGATTCCCAGTATGATAAAACAAAGTTACTTAATAATAAGTTTGTAAAACATTAGAACACTTTTACAGAAAAGATGACCTTAGGGTCAGGACTCTTTTTAGATACTGAGAACCCCCAACTATCTTAAAGTTTACAGGTGCTATTAAATGTAATATATAATCTCCTTCCCTAAGAACAAGCCCTTTCTCTTAGAACCTAAATGTCTAAGCTTCCTCTTGTCCTCTCTTGCCACCACTTTCCCATTCATTCCTAATCCCTTATCTTCCCAGAAGTGCCATATTTTAAAATTTCCTAGATAATCTTCACTCTTGGTCTACCTTAACCCTTGCTGAAAACAGCTGTTGGTTTCATTTGTTCAAAGCCTTCCTGAGAGACAGAGTTAAGAATAATAACATGCCCATGAATATTAAGAATACTAAATATTTCAGTCACTTTCACAGAGTAAAGCCATAATCTGCCAGAATTCCCATCACTTCTCCCCCCTCACAAATTATTTAAGGGTGAAGATCTTTCAGGCCTCAATAAACTATAAGAAACATCCTGGAGCCTACAGGTCTGCACAGCTCCTTCCCCAGGTTCCCTTCCCACTCCCCGAAGCCCCTCCAGGAAGGTTTCAGCTTTAGGTCACTCTGCTCGGCTGTGCTCACAGGCACCCAAGTGCCTCACCACACGTGAATCCAAGTAGATATTACTTGGATTTGCACCTTCCGGGGCAATAGACTCTTAGACGTATATAAACCATACAACTCAACTTCATCACAGGACACAGACCAGCAAAACAATACTCTCATATGTTAAAAGAATCAAATCAGAATGTATCTGTTGAGCAGAGAAGGGACTACTCACAGGGTTGCCAGCTAAAATATAAGATGCCCTATAAAATCTGGATGCCAGAAAGAAGGTGAATAATTTTTCAGTATCATTATGCCAATGCAGTGCTCATTTTTATTTGCTAGAGCTGGCCACCATCCTATACTGATGACAAGCTGACCAGAAATGTGGCTTTCTCCTAGAATTTTTTTTTTTGAGACAGAGTTTCACTGTGTTGCCCCCAGTAGAGTGCCATAGCGTCATAGCTCACAGCAACATCAAATTCTTGGGCTTAAGGGATTCTCTTGCCTCAGCCTCCCAAGTAGCTGGGACTACAGGTGCCTGCCACAATGCCTGTCTGTTCTTTTGTTGTAATTGTCACTGTTGTTTGGCAGGACCGGGATGGGTTCAAACCTGCCAGTGCCGGTGTTATGTGGCAGGCCCCCTAACTACTGACCTATAGGTGCCAAGCCTCTCCTAGAAATTTTATCTCTCTTTTCCTATCCTTTGTTCATACTACCCAACAGGAGGCGACAAGTTCTTCTGCAAGATGAGCTTTCAGGGAAGGGCAGATAGAGAAAAGACCACGCTTGTGCATCTATCAGATCCCCACCCCCAAGAGAAAGTAAGTAACACAAGAAGACACGTGGTAAAAAGCAGAGTTCTACAACATCTTCGCTTAATTTCAAGGTCTATAAAAACAAAAAAAGTAAGTCCCATCCTTCTCATCCTCTTGTCCATGTCTCAGAAAATAATAGGAAAGCCAATGCTTTTCAGGGAGACATAATCTCAGGGTTCTATTGTTTTCAAAAGGCTGCCTCAGATGATACCCCAGGATTGAGGCAGGGGTCCTTTAACGTACTCAGAAACATTTATTATAAATAGTTGCCTTCTAGATAAAAACAGCCCCCCCTCAAAACTCTAGTGAAGCAAACATGTACTGCTAATTAATAAGCACCTAAAGATAATAAGAACCGGCTGACAGCTGGGGGATTAAGTAATAAATACTTGTTATCTTAAGCTAAGTATCTAATTAAAAAAGAAGGAAAAAAAAACTGCTGAGAGGAATAAGACAGAATGAGACTGACATCTGATGGGCATTAACAGAGCTATGGGTGATTATGCTTCTATTGTTAACTCCAAATCTTCCTGCACAGATTAGAGAACCATGGCGTGAAAAGCCACCTGCTAATATAAGTTCTTACTAATAAGCAAAAAGAACCCTTAAAAAAACAAGAGAACAGGGCCAGGCGTGGTGGCTCACACCTGTAATCCTTGCACTCTGGGAGGCTGAGGCAGGTGGACTGCCTGAGCTCAAGACTTCAAGACCCACCCGAGTGAGAGCAAGATCTGTCTCTAAAAATAGCAGGGTGCTGTGGTAGGCACCTATAGTCCTAGTTACTAGGGAGGCCGAGGTAAGAGAATCACTTGAGCCCAAGAGTTTGAGGTTGCTGTGAGCTATGTCACCTGGGCACTCTACTGAGGGTGACAAAGTGAAACTCAGTCTCAAAAGAAAAACAAGACAACAAACCTACACCACACACTCATTTCTTCATCCAAAATGCTACCAAATCTGTTAACAAGAACACAGGAACAAACGAGGGAGAATTTATGGTCAAACACTTGCTTCCTTCCATGACTGCATGTGGTAGGTTCAGCAAAATAAAGCTCTGATTACCATTAGACCACTTCTTTTAACATGACTCCAGCTCCTCAGCTAGCAGCCAGGCTGGGGTGGGGAGGGCAGAAGGATAGGGAAGCACATTCTTGAGGACCAGCTGTCCTGACCAAATAAAATTCACTTAGTTAACTGTCAACAAGTAAAATATAAATAAATTCTGGGAAGCTATTCTCCATGCTTCCTAAGAAGAAAACTCAATTTATGTTGTCCTGAACTTCTAATGACATTTGTCCTCTAACAACTGAGCTTCAAGCCTTCATGTCACCAAAATTGCTTTTGTATTACTCCCACTGGCCAGGACAGACAAGCAAGGGCCCAGGAGCTAATCTATACAGTGGCACTGTCAAGGAATTCCAGCCCAATGACAACTCCTTTTTAACCACTTTCAAAAATCTCTCTCTCCATTCTCCCAAATATACTCCCTCTCTTGTATCATTTATTATTCTGAAGGCACAAAGAACACAGCCAAAGCATGATCAACCAACCATGTTCAGGAAAAGAAACTGCTATTTCCTCAACTGCACGTCTCAATATGGTCTAGTTTAGGACTCTTTCTATGTCACTGCATTCCCTGCATCATGAGTGGCAACCACAGGGAAAGAAAGTTAAGTATCAAGAAGGAATTAGGGGCTCGGTGCCTGTAGCACAGTGGTTACGGTGCCAGCCACATACACCAA